CTATTGGGCCAGCCAACCCCAGCGAGGAATGAAGCTGCTGCATGGCTTGTTTCCCCCGCCTTTGCTAGGTTTTCAACCGCGAGCGCTCCTTCACCCCTCAGCAAGCGAGCCAGCATCCGTCTTCTGAAATCTGTCTGGATCTGGGGGAGACCCGTTTAGCTTGATACGCCTGTCGAGCCGCAGACCTTCTTCTCATCACTACCCCCATCCGCTTTCTTGCCGAGTCAGGACATTGTGGTCGAGGCTCAAGCATCTGTTTCCCACCGCTCGCCTATTCCCCTCAATCATCCTGACAGAGCAGGTCGACAAGTCGACGTGCTCATTTTGCTTCCCGCAGCACTCCTCTTGCTTGGCCCATCTCTGAGCAGCACTCGGCAAGATGTCTGCAGAGGTCGCTAATCCAGCGGACACGCTCGGCCCGCGCATCAACACCTCGAGGCGCTCCATTCTTGCGAGCATGGAAGCAGAGTCAGCTGAAGCGGAAGCCTCGCCTGTGCCTGTATCAAACACAGACGCTTTGCTGCGCCAAAGACGGCCTAGCTCCTCGCAGTCGCGATCAAATGGTGTGACCGGCACCAAAGAAGCCGACAGCAAGTCCCACAGGCGCAAGTCCAGCGTCAGCTCAAAGAAGAGCCCCGTGCCCGCAACGTCCTTTGGTAGCGGCAGCGACAAGGATGCCCAATTGGACGTGCCAAAGTCAAGCCTAAAGTGAGTCGCGTACGACTCTGCATTTGCTCGCCTAGCGCTTTCAGAGCTGTTGCGGCGAGTCTCCTGCAGCATCAGCTCGCTGCCTTCTAGGAGCGCGCGCAAAAGCTACATGTGTGCATACAGCTTGGCGCGCAGATGACGTGCCGGTTAGGCTCGCTTGGAAGCTCATCACCGGCTTCGTGAAAGCGGCCTGCGCAGATCAGATCTCAGACTAGATGAAGCGTCTTGGTTGAGAGCAGCACTCTACGCACGAGGGAAAGATAAGAAGAGTACAATGCAGGCAGCATTGGCTCGCTCTAAGCTTGCAACGGACCGTCGGCTGAGCGTCACGTGCAGGCTAGACTTGGGTCACAGCGTGCGATGTTGACGTATCGCAAGCCAACCAGCCTGCTGACAGACAATTCGTACTGCATTCCCAGACAAAAGATCTCGAATGCGTCCTTGCGCAACGGGGACAGGGGCAGCAACGATGAAAGTGACAGACGCAGCGTGTCCTCTCGTATGAGCTCCCGTGCCAAAATCTCATCAATCATTCGCCGAGGCTCGCGCCAAGCGTCTGCTGACCCCGAAGACGATGCTGGCCGCAAGAAAAGCAGCAATGGCAGCTCTCGCAGGCTGAGTACACGCATGCCGAGCTTTGGCAAGAAGAGCGGAGCCGGGGCAGCAGCAGCTGTTGGTGGTCGAAGAGAGTCTACCTACTCTTCTGGAGATGACGCTCCACCTGTACCAGAGGTGCCCCAAGAAGCGCTCGCCTCAAACGGCTACACA